CTGTGTAGGAGTTTGTTTGAGAAAAGCATTAGTCCCTTTTGCCCTGTGAGAAAAAAACCCTGGGTCCCTACTCACAGGTGACCTACCATTACCTTAAATGGTCATGTTTGTTTTTTTTTCTATGCCAAAATTTCCTCCTTTTACAGTGAGTTTTATTCCTCTCTCTTAACTGAAGGGGTGGACATGTCCTAGCCCAGACTCTACTCGTGAAGACTTGGCCTACTGTGAGCACCTCTCCGACTCCCAGGAGGATATCACCTGGCGAGGTCGGGGCAGGGAAGGACTGGCACCTCAGCGTAAAACTACCAACCCTTTGGACCTGGCTGTGATGCGGCTGGCTGCCCTAGAACAGAATGTAGAACGGCGATACCTGCGGGAGCCCCTCTGGCCAGCTCATGAGGTTGTGCTGGAGAAGGCCCTGCTTAGCACGCCTAATGGTGCCCCTCAGGGCACCACTACAGAGATGTGAGTGATTCCCACCCTCCATTCTTGGTCTTAGAGAGAAAGGGATAAGTTCCCTCTCTAGTGGATCCTGTTCCTTATCCAAAGATCACCACTTTTTCCCTCCAGATCATATGAGATTACCCCTCGCATTCGTGTCTGGCGCCAGACCCTCGAGCGGTGCCGGAGTGCAGCCCAGGTGTGCTTATGCCTGGGCCAGCTAGAGAGGTCCATTGCCTGGGAGAAGTCTGTCAACAAAGTGGTAAGAGGCTGACAGACCCTGGAAAGGCAGAGGGGACAGCCAGCAGGGGCGGGTGGGGTCACTGGCAGATAGAGGATTGAGAGCTCACTCTGCCTCCTCACAACCTTGGTCCAGACGTGTCTAGTCTGCCGGAAAGGTGACAATGATGAGTTTCTTCTGCTTTGTGATGGGTGTGACCGTGGCTGCCACATTTACTGCCATCGTCCCAAGATGGAGGCTGTCCCAGAAGGAGATTGGTTCTGTACTGTCTGTTTGGCTCAGGTAAGGCTTCTGCCCTTTCTTTCCCACACTCAAACAGAAAGCATAGATTATCCTCAATCTCTCCTCTTGTTGGAAAGCATCCCATACTGGATGTTAGGGGACCTGGGTTCAAAGTCCTTTTTGGACAAGTCACTTAATTCTGTAGCTTTAATTGCTTTTTCTATAAAACGAGAATAGCTGTATCTTCTTCCCTTTTACCTACTTTATTGGGTTATGTGAATAAACCAATGCCAACTTATGCATGGTAGTATTTTGAAGCCTTGAATCACAATTAGGCAGAGATTGTAGTAGGGCAAGCAGTGCATCTCCAGCTATTGCCAATTTCACCTGTTTCCTATACTCAGCAGGTAGAGGGAGAATTCACTCAGAAGCCTGGTTTCCCAAAACGAGGCCAGAAACGGAAAAGTGGTTATTCCCTGAACTTCTCAGAGGGTGATGGCCGCCGACGCCGGGTACTGTTGAGGGGCCGAGAAAGCCCTCAACAGTACATGGAAGAAGGGCTGTCCCCCTCCAAGCGGCGGCGACTCTCAATGCGGAATCACCACAGTGATCTCACATTTTGCGAGTGAGTTGAGTGAATCCTGGGGGGGGGACAGTTGGCTCTACCTCTGCCAGAGGAAAGGGTTAGGAGGGGTCAGAATATTTGCTTCCTGAGATGGAGCCGTCACTGTCCCTGTAATGATAGGATTATCCTGATGGAGATGGAGTCCCATGATGCAGCCTGGCCTTTCCTAGAGCCTGTGAACCCACGTTTGGTGAGTGGGTACAGACGCATCATCAAAAATCCTATGGATTTTTCCACCATGCGGGAACGGCTGCTCAGGGGAGGGTAAGTAGATGTGGGTGCATCTCCCTGCTCTTTGCTACTGCTGCACCTCCTACCTAGTTCACAGCTTTGCCCCTGCCCTGTCCAGGTACACCAGCTCGGAGGAGTTTGCGGCTGATGCCCTCCTGGTATTTGACAACTGCCAGACCTTCAACGAGGATGACTCTGAAGTAGGCAAGGCTGGGCACATCATGCGCCGCTTCTTCGAGAGCCGCTGGGAGGAATTTTATCAGGGAAAACAGGCCAATCTGTGAGGCAAGGGAGGTGGGGAGTCACCTTGCGGCATCTCCCCCCACCTTGCAAACAAAAACCTGCCATTTTTACCTGCTGATGCTGCCCTGGGTCCAGACTCAAGTCAGATACAACCCTGATTTTTGACCTTGCCCTTGGCAGTGCCCCACATCCTCTTATTCCTTTATCCCTTTCTCCCTTTCCTCCTCTTGCTCCTCAAATAAGAGGTGCAGAGATGAGGTCCTTCTGGACTGAAAGCCAAAAAAAGAAAGAAAAAAAATAATTTTTCTTTTCTGTTTTATTTCCTAATTAAAAATGGGGAGGGGGAAAGAAGTCCCTGCTTCCTCCTCCCTGCTTCCTCTCCTCCCCTGTACGTGCCCCAGTGTTCTGGGGTTATTTAACAATAGCAATAGTTCTAGTGAATGTGTGAAACCAAGAAACACTCTGTACTGTGTGCGGACCCGCAGTGACGGCCAGTAAAGTGGACTTAACTCCTAAGTGTGTCGCGCCGGACACTGGGCCCTGGACATGCTGCTTCCATGCTCAGTCCCTTCCCTGCTTCTTGCTGTTTTTCTTTTCCTACCTCCCACCCCTCAAGTTTCAGATTTTCTCTCATCCAATAATGTAAAACTATCGTGTACGGGTTCCTCCCTCCTTTTCTCTTCTCCCAAATCTTTTCCCTTCAAAGGAAAAAAAGTTCAGAGATCCCTGTCTTTTTCTCTGTCCTCATCTTTCTGCCAATAGCTATCCCCTGTATGACGTTGGATGCTCCTCACATGCTGAGTTTCCAGCCTTTTCTGAAACTCAGTAGCTGGGGAGAGGGCAGGGAGGCCTCCTGGGCCTTCCAGCCTCCTTCCCCACTTCCTTCCCAAACCCTCTTGGGAACTCCTCAGGGACAACTACTGCTGAGTTTGGGTGCACCCCAAGATGGAGGCCAGGTAGCAATGGACCGGCCTCAGAGAGCGAGCGTGCTGTGTGTGTGTGTGTGTGTGTGTGTGTGTGTGTGTGTGAGAGAGAGAGTGAGAGAAGATGCTGTGCTCGTTACCCTGTATTGTTTGATAGGATCCATTCAGTTTCCCCAAGTATGTTTTCATTCCCATCTTTCCCATTGTTAAAAACCATCACTTTTTTGTCTTTGGGAAACCACAGGAACAATTTCTCTGGAGACAAGGCTGTGTCTCTCCTGGTCATTTTTGTTCCAGCCTCTTCAGACTGTGCAATCTTTCAGCAGGAACTCCCTCTCCTCTCGGTAGTTTTGAATCTTAAGCTTGTACAGGGAGAGTGGTAGAACTGGATCTTTTCCTAATCCCATTGAGTTGTGCTTTTCTTTTTTACTTCATACTGCAGGACCCCTTCCCCAGCAGCAGAGACCCTGGAGCACAGAAGAGTAGGGAGGAGGGGTTCTGGGTCCATCACTGCCCCGCATGTGACTGTGTCCAAGTTAAGCCCCCAATATGAGAGGAGAGCTGCTGACTCCCAGCTATAGCCATGGGCGCTTGGTCCCTTGCTCAGCAGAGCCCCTCCCTTCAGAGATTACGGGTACTTGCACTGGGGAGGTGGCTGCTGGCTGGCCCAAGCAGAGAGCTGAGGCATCCAAGAAATGTTCCATTCGGGGTGGGGGTGCCAGGTGAGGTGGAGCATTCCTTGTATTCTGGCAGCACTGAAGAGCCACTGAAGCGGGGGTAGGGGCAGTGTAGGTAGATCCTGGGGCAGCCCCTTTATTCCTTTATGCCCCTTCTCCCCCAGAGCCTATTTCTAAAGTCGCCTTTTCTGTCAGATAAACCTCAAAACTTTTAATTTTATTTGAGATTTTTTTTTTTTGCTTTTAAATAAGAGGTGGATTGAAGAATATTTGAATTGACTTTATATTATGCATAAATATTTATATTTTATCTAAATAACTGCGCTGTAACAAACTTTGTGTTAGACAGTTGAAACTGTTAGAGTGGGGGGGCTCCACTTTTTCCCCCTGGCAGTTGTCCCTGGGTATAAGATGTGCTAGATTAATTTCATTGTTGGAGGTGAGGTGGATAGGGGAGTCAAATCTCCATGGTTCCTACTTTGTGTTCCTCTCCCAGCTCCATCTCTTTCGCTAGGGACCAGGCACTCATATGGTAGGGTGGGGTCCTAGCCTCAGTTATTAGTGGGGGCCAGAGGGGGCGTGAGGATAGGACATGATCAAAGGGGCCATTTCTTGCTTTTCTTTCCTCATCCTCACTGCCCCCTTGAGCTAGGTGGATTTTCTCTCATGACAAGTATTTGGTAGGGAAAGCAGGTTTAAAATAAAAAGTCAACCCACCCACTGCCCTTTTGCTCCCCCCCATCAGTCTGGTTGACAGGAAGAAACCACACCGTCAACACCAACAAGTTTCCATGTTCCTTTTACAACAAAAGGGACTTTTTATATAACCAAATGTGGTGTTTTAGTGACTTTTTGATAATGTACAGTTTTTTGTGAATTTAAATTTATTTCTTTCTATATTTTTAGGACCAATCTCATTTTTAATAAGGTGAAAAAAAAGTCTAGAGAAAAAAACTCCTGTTTTTTGCCATGTGATGTTCCACAAGTGCAGCTGTAGAAAAGTGCTTGTCAGTTGAATAAAAAAAAACCACATTTGATAGAGATTCAAAAGACTCTGTGTATTCATCCTCCCTTCTACACACCTGAGGGGGAGATGGGGTTGGGAGGGGTATGACTGGCTTAAGAGACCACAGGTGGGGGAACAACACACTCGCCCTTTCTGTGCAAACGGCACTAGAAGCCAGACTCCTGTTCCACACCCTGTTTGTGTGGATAGAAAGGGTTATTAGTGGCTCCTGTCTAAATGTCTGGCTGAGTTGCTAGAGCAAAGTGAGATTCATGCACCCAGGTCCTGCCTTGTGAGATGTCGCCCTAGCTTTCTGAGCTGTCACCTGTCATAGCAAACATGGGCCATCACCAGCGTCCCACTTCCCACTCATGGATAAGACAGCAAGACATAGACTTTTGTGTTTTATTAAAAAGTTTGAAGTAAGACAAATTGGACCTCTACCAAATTGTAGGGAAGGGCAAGGAGAAGACCAGGGGTAGAAAAGGAAGAGTAAGTTAGAATGGTGGCATTGGCATAGATGTGGGAAGTATACAAAACTAGTCTCCAGATAAAAAATGTCCAAAATGTGTAAGTATAAACATTTTCTGTCTATATGAAAAAGAGTATTCACCCACCCAAAAAGGGTGTTATGTTGGAGTGGGGACTTCACTCAGGCTAGAAAAGTATTACCCTCTAGCCTGGAAAATTTGTCTTGGTGAACACCCGGAAGTATGTATTAAGGTAGAGAAGGAACATTTGCTTCCAGCCTTATATCACAAACTTCCTCTTTGGTATTTGATTACCTTCACAGCTGTACACCAGCCACCAACCCACTTTCTTGTCCTCTTAAATTGTAAGCTCTGCTCCTATGCTGGTGTCCTCCAACCATTACTAATTACCCGGAGCAGTCACTGCACAGCCTACTCCCCTGGCCTATCACAGCAGGACCTGTCTGGAGAGTTCGCACTATTCTAGGGTGATCAGTGAGCTAAAAATCCCAGAGAAAACATTCTAGGAATGGAAATTCCCAAGAGTTTTTACATTTAATTACGAGCCTTTTCTAGTCCCCAGCTTCCCAACCCTCAGAGAGAAGGAAAGAAATAGGTAAATCAGGTATTTATGCCCTTGTTGAATTGGGAGATTGTGAGGTAGCTGTGTAACAAGGACAAGGAAATTGGGGGATCTGCTTGGATAATGCAGATTTATTCAAAACAAGTGGACAGGTCGGGGGGTAACTGGGGTGATGAGGGCACCTAGCTTTTGTCTAGTTATGTGGGGACTGTTCCCTGGGAGGAGCAGCAGAGATCAGAAGGGAGATAGAAGCTCACAGTCTGGTTTTAACTGCCGACTCCTATGGGAGGCCTACCAAATGAGGAAATTTCAGGAATCTGCTAATGCTTGGGAGGATTGAAAATTCAGGCAGCATAGAAATAGAGTAGTTCGTTTGAAAGGGAATCAGGAAGGATTGGTATAACAAGGCACAAGATTTGGAATTTACCCTTTACAGACTGGCTTTTATAACACCCACCCTCTCTGAAGCCTGCTGATTCAGGGCCAGTAGAGCCTCGGGGCAAGTTTGGGCCAGATCACCCACCCAAGTTTACTGCCCTTGGCTAAGAATGCAAAGCCCCTCACGAGTGCAATGTTGTCACTTTCCCAGAAGGTGGGGCATGTGCACAAGGCAGTGGCAGTAGTTCTTTTCTAGAAGACTAGTAGTCACTGCTTCTAGGGGGATCCCTACCATTCCAGCAAGGCCTGTCACAGCATCTGTATGATACAAAGTAACAGCTCACGTGCAGGCCTCAACTCCGAATAGGTTGACACTGGAGTGACAGGGAGGGAGTAGGCACTGGAGACAGAGTGAATGAGCTCTTAATGCTCATTCCTAACTGATTGGCAAGTTAGGAAAGGAAAGGGAATGGAATGGAGCTGAAGTGGCCCAACCTAAGTATGGCCTGTGAAGCAGCAAAGTCTGGTCTTCTTCCTCAGTATGAGTTTGACCACTCCTTATGTGTTACTGAAAAGGTCTATTACCCTATAGAGCCACCAGGCTTCCTAGCCTGGGCAACTTTTCAAATTGTTTGGCTAAAGACACTACAAAGGGCCGGGTGCAGTGGGTAATCCCAGCACTTTGGGAGACCAAGGCAGGTGGTTTATTTGAGCCCAGGAGTTCAAGACCAGCCTGGGCAACGTGGCAAAACGCCGTCTCTACTAAAAATACAAAAATTAGCCATTTGGAGGTCAGGAGTTAGAGACCGGCCTGGCCAACATGGTGAAACCCCATCTCTACTAAAAATACAAAAATTAGCCAGGCATGGTGGCGGGCACCTGTAATCCCAGCTACTCAACTAAAAAGGCCAGGCATGGTCGCTCTTGCCTGTAATCCCAGCACTTTGGGAGGCTGAGGTGGGGGATCATTTGAGCCCAGGAGTTCAAGACAAGCCTGGGCAACATGGTGAAACCCCATCTCTACTAAAAATTAGCCAGGCATGGTGGTATACCACTACTTGGTGGCAGGGGAAGGGGCACCTGAGGCAGGAGGATCACCTAAGCCTTGGGAGGTCGAGTCTCTAGTGAGCCAGGATGGTACCACTGCACTCCAGCCTGGGCCACAGAAGGAGAACCTGCCTTTAAAAAAAGCCCCCAAACATTAAAAATAACATCTCATCCAAGCATAAAGGCTCATACCTACAATCACAACATGTTGGGAGGCTCACTTGACAGGTGTTCAAGACCAGTCTGGGCAACACAGAAAGACCCCTGTCCCTACAAAAAACTTAAAAAACTAAATGAGCGTGGCAGTACGTGCCTATAGTTCCAGCTACTTGGGAGGCTGAGGTGGGAGGATCCCTTGAGTCCAGAAATTCAAGTCTGTAGTGGGCCATGACTGCACCACTGCACTCCAGCCTGGGTGACAGAGTGAGACCATCTCTAAAAACTAAAAACATCTCTCTCCATCATCCCCACATCTTCCTGACCTCTCCTGGCACCCTCCTCCAAAAAGTCCAATCAGCTTACGGTCTGAATATCAACTCAGAGCCTGAGATGTAGAGTTATAACACTGGACAGGAGATGGCTAGGCAGGCTCAGAGCCTGTAAAAGGATTATGCCAACTGAGGAAGGGACTCTGGTATGTTCTATTTGAGTGAAAACAGAAAAATGCCAAGTACTAAAATATTTTAAGAATGTTATGAGCATCTGTAATGAGTCGGGGTGAGATGTAAAGTACAAAGAGTAAGATCTGAGCTCCGTGATGACAGAATTCAGAAAACACTAGGCTTAGTGTTTAAGAGCCCAACCCCAGGCTGTAAGCTGGAAGGCTCCCCCACAATTCCTCTGCCATCACCCCAACCAATTAGACTATTTCATGGGAGAAACAGTATCCCTCCTTTCCTCCAAACACTCACTCACTGTTACAAATGAACTAACAATTAGGTGGGAAAATGAGTGTAAACCCAAAGCAACAAAATGGAAATTCCTAGTGCCATTAGCCACTGCAAAATAACTTGAGGCTCCCTATCACTTCCCACACCCAAACCAGAAACACATGTAATACAATCTAACAAGTAGATTCACATGAGGAGAAGCCCAAAAGGTAAATTCAAAATTTAAAACAAAAAATTTGAGCCATTTAAACATTTTTTTAAATATAGAGAAATAAGACAGAATCAGGAGTTCTGTGAGGCAGAGGAGAGGGGAGTGGCCATATCAACAATGGCTTCTATGCATGAAAGCCCCTTCCTAAACTTTACATCTCACCCGACTCATTACAGATGCTCATAACATTCTTAAAATATTTTAGTACCATACATAGCAAAGCTCCCCCCATCTATCAAATGAACAGATTTCTAGATTTGTTTTCTCTTTCTCTCAAAGGCCACTGACAAGAAAGCAGCTATGGTATATTTTCCTTGACTGACAGCTGGAGACTCAAAAACAAAAGCTATCTGCCCAGCCAAAGCCCTCTAGAAGGTAGAAGGTAGTGGGCTTGGGGCTGTTTTACACTGGATGAGCCCTTCTGAGGTTGGAAGCATCAATGGGAAGACATGGCAATTCTGTCCTCGCACTCCCTCACCCCCAGATGTACATAGAAAGTCGACACTAGGGGGCACTGGGACTCTCAATTCTGGGGTGGCTGGGAAGGGAGGGAAAGCTGGGCCAAGCTCTATGTGCAACAACTGATACTACAGTTTCTTCCCTGCTGTCACCCCCTTCCTCTCCCTATGGCCCGCCTAATGAACACCTGTCTTTCTATCCTTCATCATTTGCCCTTGTTTGACTTGTCTGGTGGAGAGACACCTGGCCTTGGAGTACAGGAGAGTGGAATTTTCCTTTCAGTGCATAAGGGAGTGACGGGGAAGAGGACAGGAGCAGGATTTTATTTCCTAGAAGATGGGTGAGGCTTTCTTCAGTCTGTCTCCATGTGTATAGAGTCACATCTTGCAGAAGAGAACATTTAAAGACCAAGACATAGGCTTTTTAAAAGGACTCCTAACCTCATAAAGAGTTGGAATTTATTGCTCTTTTCTACCCTCGCTCCCTGTTGTCCTTCCATAAGAAGGAAAATTATTTCTGATGTCCTAGTTCCCTGGGCATGGGGTCCAAGCATACCAGGGCAGGGCAGGTTGCTCTGGACAGTTTAGAGAGCTTTGTCCTTTCCCACCGTTGCACAGCACACACCAGAAGAGTGTCCACCTGAATCCTTCTGAGCACATGTGTGCGCTCAGCATGGAGCCACAACTCTTTCAAGGATCACTCTTGCTATATGCAGAGGTATCAAAGGTCAAAGTCTGGGGAGAATCCTAGGATCTCAGTCTGGTCCTTCCCAAACAGCTGCATGCGTGTCAAAGGCAGTTTGTCCAGGGATTGGGTGAGCATTTACCCTAACCCAGGAGGCAGGGACAACACTGTCTATACCAGTGTTTCCCAAATTTGGCAATACTGACCTCTGGAGTCAGATAATTCCTGGCTGAGGGTAGTGGGGACTGTACTATGCAGTGCAGGATGCTTAGCAGCAACCCTGGTTTCCAGCCACTAGATGCCAGTAGCACACACATCTCACCTCCAGGCATGGCAATCAAAAATGTCTAGATGTTGCCAAAGGCCTCTGAGGGACAAAACCGCCTCTGGTTGAGAACCCCTGGTCTGAGGTGAAGCAGCAGATCTTCCACAGTGCGGAAGGAGCCTATGTGGATTCAACTAGGTCACAGCTGCAAAGGCTCTAAGCGCAGCACCGTGCACAGGGAAGAGAAGGGCCGTGAAGCCCGGGACAGACAGGAATCAGGTAAGGCAGGGACTCCCAAAAGTTGTAGCTGGAAAAGACATTTCCTCAGAATCCGTTGGCCTTGGCAGTGAGAAGAGTTGGTCAAAGTCAGTCCATTCTTCTGGAACTTGCCAGGGAAGACCTAGTCTTCAACCAAATTTGGCTCAAGGGTGTGTTCTCAGGGCTGTGGAATTGTCTCATTAGTAAGTCTGGGTCACATTTGTGCTTTCTGAAGCCAAAGTCTAGTTTTTTCTCCCAGGAGGTGGCAGCGGGGAGGAAAGAACAGCCACTTCCATGGCCTACTTAGTGTTCTGCCTTGTTCCTTGCCCAGCCTGCCCACCCCACCCCAAATCCCACATGAAATTTCATTTTTAAATATCCATAAAATTAAAAGCTGTAGAAGGGGAAAGTAGGTAGCCTCAGCTGTTTAGAAAAGAGGAAAAAACAATCTGGAAAAGAGAAAGAAGGAATAACATGGGTGAAGAGGAGATGGGTGTGTGAGCTGAGAGTTTTACAAAACAAAATTTTTAAAGTCTGCACACTTTTAAAATATACACACACACACATCAAAAAAGCCCATCACTAAGCTCAGTAAGCAGGGCTCCTACAGCAGTGCTCCAGCACCACAACTTTGTTTTGTTTTGGGTTTTAAAGAAATAATTACAAGTTGTTTTTAAAAGCATCCCCAAATAATTCCAATACATCAAACACTTTTTCATATAGACGAGAAGAAGCTCCAACCACCATGTCTCTTCAGGGTAGGGAACAGTACATTGCAGTTAAAAACAAAAAACTTTCTTTGCAAAAGAAAAAAAGTTTTTTGGATCTCCTTGAATGTAGTACACACAAAAAGTGATGGTTCCCCCAGGCTCCATCAGCAATGGGGAAAGAGCAGAGGGCAGGAACGTAGAGATTTCTTTTTCCAGGCCCAGGCCTGTGAAAAACGATGGCTAAGTGTTAGTCCTTAGCAGGGCCGACAGATGGTCTGCATTCCTGGTTAACCCTCTGGAATCTGGGAGCACGAGTATCTCCAAGAATTCATTTCTATTCAGTAAAGATGGGGAGGGGAATCCTAAAGAAGGCATAAGCCAGAGAGGAGACAAGACAAATATGAGAACCTATCTGCCTTCAGGCCGGGCTGAGCTGCTGTCTGCCAGCACAGCCTTCCCTGCCCCCCAGCATGTGGTTCTTACCCACTGTTACTTGTTGAACTGGAAAGAATAGACCCCATGCTCTGAGGGCGTGTCCATTGCCACTTGGTTCTGCTGGCTGCTGCTCTCCTGTGCCATAGCCAAGGAGGGGAGTCATCTTGCATGTTCCTTTCCTCATCTCCCACTACAGCAGCCTCACCAAAGCCTACCCACTGTCAGTGCCCTCCCCAACCCACCCACTCTCCACACTCATGTGTGAGCGCACCCACCCACGGCACCACTTCCCTAACCTTCCTAGCAGCCTGTCCTCTTCCCAAGACACATTTGTCAAAACAAGCCAGCATCCTGGTGTTAACTACTGCCTGGCCAAACATGAAGAAGGGCCTCATTCATGAACTCAGACCAAGTCCTTCTTTCGTACATCTGTTGTTTTTTTAAATATGAAATGCTTCACAAATCTGCATGTTATCTTTGCACAGGGGCCATAATCCCTGTGTCATTCTGCTTTTAGAATGTGTGGTGCTGAAGCAAGCACATCCTTCCTACGGGCTCCATGTACCTACCAGCTACCTGTGAACACAGAACCAGCATCATTGTGAGAGGAAGATCTTGATCAGGGTGAAACCTGCCTCTGTTCAGTTTCCTAACCGTAACCCGAAGAAATGATAACACACTTACCTCGACTGAAACACTGGAAGAAGGCACCGGGGCGTACTGGGAGATGTAAGCTCCTTGCAGAGCTGCAGCCGTCGGCATATACTAGAAAGAGAAACATCAATGGGCTTACAGCAGTAATTCTTGGCTATATTTGAAGCAGTTGGGGAGTTTTAAATAAATACTGACACCTGTGTTCTGTCCCAGACATTCTAATTTAATTGATTTGAGCATTAGCTTCTTAAAAGCATTTCAGGTGGTTCTAAAGTACACTGGCTTAGAGAAACGTCTCCCTGTATGATTGACTTTCCTTCTCTTTCCTGACTTTCTTCTCCTTTTCCTCAACAGGCTCCCTTCTCTACCCTTGAGCCCTTCTATATAAAAAGGAATGCAGTAAGCCTAAAAGAAACTTAATGAGCTTCCTCCATCCTTCCAGGTACTATTTTGATGAGGATTCCTAGGACATGTTTGTATCTTAAACTAATATTCATGAGGTGCATGAGTAGGAATCAGTTCAGAGTGGGGGCTGGGGAGCAAATGGCTGTACTCCTGGCTCATGGAGCACTACCACTATAGTTTATGTTCTGTTCTGAGTGTACCCTGGATGATACTGAAGTAATGCCATCATTATTCATAAGTTACTTATCCTGAAGAGTATTACACAGGTATGCCTTGCTCAGTAGGAGAGTTTACAATCAGAAACATCCTGCTTTACCGTGCCTGTGCTGCTGAGGGAGAGGTGGCCCAGTTGCTGGGTAAGAGGTCCCATCATGGAGGCTGGCTGGAGAGAAATAGGATGGTCCATCCCTGGTGTCAGAACTGAACCCTAGAAGCAGCAACAAAGGACAGGGTTAGCTGCAGCATGCCGTGAGGCTGCCTAAAACAGTGATTGGTGGCTGTCAGGACCACTGGAGACAGACATTGAAGAATCCTGGGAAATGGTAAATGAGTAGCAATGCAACTATGCAACAGGAATAGGAACTCTGCCTGTCAGTGTGGAAGGACCCTCGTCCAAGAATAACAAGCTTAGGTCTTACTTCTGGGTTGCACAAGGGTCTAAGCCAGAACTTGCACCTACATCTCCTGACATCAAAGCCCATTGTTTTTTTTTTTTTTTTAGACGGAGTTTTCGCTCTTGTTACCCAGGCTGGAGTGCAATGGCGCAATCTCGGCTCATCGCAACCTCCGCCTCCTGGGTTCAGGCAATTCTCCTGCCTCAGCCTCCTGAGTAGCTGGGATTACAGGCACGCGCCACCATGCCCAGCTAATTTTTTGTATTTCTAGTAGAGATGGGTTTCACCATGTTGACCAGGATAGTCTCGATCTCTTGACCTCGTGATCCACTTGCCTCAGCCTCCCAAAGTGCCGGGATTACAGGCGTGAGCCACTGCGCCTGGCCCTCTTTTTTTTTTTTTTGAGATGGAGTTTCATTCTTGTGCTCAGGCTGGAGTGCAATGGTGCAATCTTGGCTCACTGCAACCTCCGCCTCCCGGGTTCAAGCAATTCTTCTGTCTCAGCCCCCTGAGTAGCTGGGATTACAGGTGCCTGCCACTACACCCGGCTAATTTTTGGTATTTTTGGTACAGAAGGGGTTTCACCATGTTGGCCAGGCTGGTCTCGAATTCCCGACCTCAGGTGATCTACCCGCCTCGGCCTCCCAAAGTGCTGGGATTACAGGTGTGAGTCACTGTGCCCGGCCTATTTTTTCTTTACATCAAATTGCCTCTTTGGCTTCTGCCCACTTCTGAACACTCACTGAAGGTTGCATGAGGTATGAATGGTGGTGCATCCAAGATGGGTTAGGTACTTGTAGAGGAGATGTCTGAGTCACTCTCTAAAACAAGCAAAAACAAAAATGTTAATTGCCTGGAAACTACTGTTCAGCCCAAGGATCTGGCAGTGTTCAGCAAAGCCCATAAAAGTTGGAATGCCCCACTAAAAATAGAAACATTAAGAAAAACGGTTTTAGAAATATTAGCAACTCTTAAAACTCAATAAATACACCAGTGGAAAAAAAGGGCAAAAAGGAGTTCAAAATTACAGTGAGCTATAATTCTGACACTACATTTTAGCCTGGGTGACAAAGAGAGACTCCATCACTAAAAAATTTAAAAAGAAAAGAAAAAGGAAAGGGTTTGGAAAGAAGGTGTACCAGTAGCCAATGAGTCCAGGAGGAGGCGCAAATGCAAATCAAAATCACAGTGGGACACCGCTTTATACCCACCAGGATGCCTACAATTATTATTTCCATTTTTGAAACAGGGTCTTGCTCTCTGTTGCCCAGGCTGGAGTGCAGTGGTGGGACTAGAGGTGTGCACTACTACACCTCGTTAATTTTTGTATTTTTTTGTAGAGCCATGTTGCCCAGGCTGGTCCCAAACTCCTTGGCTCAAGTGATCAGTCCACCTCGGCCTCCAAAAGTGCTAGGATTACAGGTGTGAGCCACAGTGCCAGGCCAGCATGGCTACAATGAAAAGGACAGAATGACAAGTGTTTTATGCTGCTACTGCTGGTGGGAATGTAAAATGGTACAGCTCCTCTGGAAAATGTGTTGGTAGTTCCTTAAAAAATTAAATATACAGTTGCTATGTAGACCAGCAATTCCATTCCCAGGTATATACCCAAGTGAAATGAAAACATATGTCCACACAGAAACTTGCATGTCAATGTTTATAGCAGTATTATTCATAATAGCCAAAAGGAAACAACTCAAATGATGATCAATTGATAATTGGATAAACAAAATGTGGTATACCCATATAATGGAATATTATTCAGCTATAAAAAGAATGAAGTACTGATAAACACTATAACATGGACAAATTTTGAAAACGTATTTTTTTTTTTTTTTGAGACGGAGTTTCGCTGTTGTTACCCAGACTGGAGTGCAATGGCATGATCTCGGCTCACCGCAACCTCCGCCTCCTGGGTTCAAGCAATTCTCCTGCCTCAGCCTCCCGAGTAGCTGGGACTACAGGCTCATGCCACCATGCCCAGCTAATTTTTGTATTTTTAGTAGAGATGGGGTTTCACTTTGTTGACCAGGATGGTCTCGATCTCTTGACCTCATGATCCACCCACCTCGTCCTCCCAAAGTGCTGGGATTATAGGTGTGAGCCACCACGCCCGGCCTGAAAACGTATTAAGTGAAAGAAGCCAGACAAAAAACTACATATTGTATGATTTAACTTATGTGTAATCATACGATCATACAATTTTCTGGGCTTTGCCTATTATGTTCAGAATAGGGAAATCTATAGACACAAAAAGTATATTATGGGTTGCAGGGACATTTCAATTCAAATTGGATTTGAAATAATCCAAAAAGTTACATTATTTAATAATTTGGTGCTAGGCCAACTGGTTAACACTCTGAAAGAAAACAGGACTCCTGGCTGGGCACAGTGGCTCATGCCTGTAATGACAGCACTTTGAGAGGCCAAGGAGGCTGGATCATGAGGTCAGAAGATCAAGACCAACCTGGCCAAAATGGTGAAACCCTGTCTCTACTAAAAATACAAAAATTAGCTGGTTGTGGGGGCATGTGCCTGTAATCCCAGCTACTCAGGAGGCTGAGGCATGAGAATCGCTTGAAACCAGGAGGCAGAGGTTGCAGTGAGCCAAGATCATGCCACTGCATTCCAGGCTGGCGACAGAGCAAGACTCCATCTGAAAAAAAAAAACAAAAACAAAAACAAAAACAAAAACACAAAAAACCAGGACTCCTATCTTATGCCATACACAAAAATAAAACCCTGATGATTAGACATTTAAATGTAAATATAAAACATAAAATCTTAGAGACCAAAACCTAAAAAAAAAAAAATTGGAAACCAGATACATAGTTTAGAGACTGAGAATACTTTTTAAATTAAGACAAGAAATTCTAAAGTTTTTTATAAAAGGAAAAGAAAAATTTGCCTGGTGCGGTGGCTCATGCCTGTAATCCCAGCACTTTGGGAGGCCGAGGTGGGTGGATCACGAGGTCAAGAGATCGAGACCATCCTGGTCAACATGGTGAAACCCCGTCTCTACTAAAAATACAAAAAATTAGCTGGGCATGGTGGCGCGTGCCTGTAATCCCAGCTACTCAGGAGGTTGAGGCAGGGGAATTGCCTGAACCCAGGAGGCGGAGGTTGCGGTGAGCCGAGATCGTGCCATTGTGCTCCGGCCTGGGTAACAAGAGCGAAACTCCGTCTCAAAAAAAAAAAAAAGAAAGAAAAGAAAAATTTAACTATATATAATTTTTTTTTTAGATGGAGTCTAGCTCTGTTGCCTCGCCCAGGCTGGAGTGCAGTAGCACAATCTCGGCTCACTGCAACCTCCGCCTCCTGGGTTCAACCAATTCTCCTGCCTCAGCCTTCCAAGTACTGGGATTACAGGCGCGCATCACCACACCTGGCTGATTTTTGCATTTTTAGTAGAGATGAGGTTTCACCATGTTGGTCAGGCTGGTCTTGATCTCCTGATCTCGTGATCTGCCTGCCTCGGCCTCCCAAAGTTCTGAGATTACAGGTGTGAGCCACCATGTCCAGCCAACTATATACAAATTTTACTTTTTTTTTTTTTGAGACATGGTCTTGCTCTGTCAACCTCTGGGGTCAAGTGATCCTCCTACTTCCGCCTCCTGAGCTTCTGGGATTACAGTTATGCACCACCATGCCCAGCTAATTTTTGTATATTTTGTAGAGATGGGGGTTTCACCGTGTTGCCCAAGCTGGTCTTGAACTCCTGAGCTCAAGTGATCCGCCTGCCTCTGCTTCCCAAACTGCTGGGATTTCAGGCCTGAGCCATCACACCTGGCCAACTTTTATATGGCAAAGACTAGTGATTCCCACAGTATGTTCCCTGAACCAGCAGCAGTAGCAGCAGCATCACCTGGGAACTTGTTGGATATGCAAATTCTTGCCTTCTACCCTAGTCTTACTGAACCGGAAACTCTGAGTGTGACGCATGCAACCCAGGTTTCGATAAGCTTTCCACCTGATTCTGATACACCACTAAAGTTTGAAGACCACAAAGTCAACAGCCGAAAAATAAAACTGGAAAAAAAAATGTGTAACAAAGATAGCATTCAGAAGACTAATACTTATATATAGTTGTATAAATTTATGAGAAAAGAACAAATAAACAAATAGAAACATGGGCAAAGCATATGAATAGCAATCAGAGAGAAGCAAATCAAAATATAACAAACAAAATGATTAAATTCACCTATAGTCAGGGACATGCAAATTAAAATAACAATGTACTTTACATTCATCAAGTCAGGAACAATTTTTTTTTTTGAGATGGAGTTTCCCTCTTGTTGCCCAGGCTGGAGTGCAGTGGCACAATCATGGCTCACTGCAACCTCACCTTCTGGGTGCAAGCGATTCTCCTGCCTCAGCCTCCGTAGTAGTTGGGATTACAGGTGCCTGTCACCATGCCCAGCTAATTTGTGTTTGTTTTTTTTTTGAGATAGAGTGTCGCTCTGTCACCAGGATGGAGTGCAGTGGTGTGATCTCGGCTTACTGCAACCTCCGCCTCCCTCCAACCTCCCAGGTTCAAGCAATTCTCCTGCCTCAGCTTCCTGAGTAGCTGGGACCACAGGCATGTGCCATCACGCCCAGCTAATTTTTGTATTTTTAGTAGAGACAGGGTTTCACCATGTTGGCCAGGAAGGTCTTGATCTCTTCACCTTGCACACCTGTAATCCCAGCACTTTGGGAGGCTGAGACAGGTGGATCAGTCAGGAACAATTTAAAAAGAGCAGTAACACCTATGTCTGGAGGGAAATGGGTACTTTCACACAAGGCTGGTAGAAATGTGAGGTAACACAGTCTTTGTGGAAAGCAATCTGGCAACGTCTATGAAACTGAACATCTGTACACCATTCAACCTAGCAATCCAACTCCTGAGACTCTAGCCCCCAGAAACAGAAGCACTCATATGTAAAAATATAGCACAAGAGTGTTAAGTGGAGCATCACTGATAGCAGCAAAAAACCGAATCTAAGTGAATGCTCCCATTGGGTATAGCTAAAGAATTCTGGCACATCTGCAGCATGAAATATAATGTAACCATTAAAAAAGATAAACTTAGAGCAGAGATAATGCAACAGAATCACCCGGAGGGCTTGTTAAAACCCAGATCACGGCTGGGTGTGGTGCAGCACTTTGGGAGGTCGAGGTGGGCAGATCACCTGAGGTCAGGAGTTTGAGATCCGCCCACCCAACATGGTGTAACCTCATCTCTACTAAAAATACAAAAATTAGCTGGGTGTGGTGGCATATGCTGGTAATCCCAGCTATTTCAGAGGCTGAGACAGGAGAATCACTTGAACCCACGAAGCAGAAGTTGCAGTGAGCTAACATTGTGCCACTGCATTCCAGGCTGGGCAACAAGAGCGAGACTCCATCTTAAAAAAAAAAAAAAATCAAACAGGGCTGGGCACAGTAGCTCATTCCTGTAATCCCAGCAATTTGGGAGGTTGAGGTGGGCAGATCATGAGGTCAGGAGTTAGAGACCAGCCTGGCCAACACGGTGAAACCCCGTCTCTACTAAAAATACAAAAATTAGCCCAGCATGTTGGTATACACCTGTAGTCCCAGCTACTTGGGAGGCTGAGGCAGGAGAATCACTTGAAGCTGGGAGGTGGAGGTTGCAGTGAGTTGAGTTCTTGCTACTGCACTCCAGCCTGGGCAATAAGATCTCACTCTGTTGCAAAAAAACAAAACAAAAACCCAGATTGCCGGGCCCCATACTCAAGAGTTTGTAATTCAGTAGATTTGGAGGGGAGTCCAAAATTTCTGTTTTTAAAAATTCGCAGATGATGCTGACACCGCTGGTCTAGGACCACACTCTGAGAATCACTGGTGTAGGATACTGTTAAGTGAGAAAAGTGAATGTAAAAATATATTTAATATAGTCCAAGTTTCGTAAAATAAGCAACTTCCCAAATGCTATACAAATGTGTATATTCACATGAAAAAATATGACCAATGCTACACAGTAGGACATTAACATGAGTTTACTTATGGAGGTGGTGGAAGGGGAGTAAGAGGACACCATTAAAAATACATACTGGGGGGGAAAAACATACCATATATATCACTACGCACACACAGATCATCTTTTACACTGTTATGTAAAATTGTGTGTAATATGATTAAAAGAAAAAAAAAATAAGAAGTTCCTAGCCTTATATTACTTAAAGCACAATAGTAGGGAAAACCACCGCACCCTTTTTCAGACATGAACATACCTGATACGAAGACACGGAAGAGGAAAGGTATGGGGAGAGTGCAGACTGAGCAAGCATCCTGTTGGGGGTGATGTTATAAGGGGCTGGGTAAAACCTGTGGGAAGGAACCTCAGTCAGTACTGAGTCACAGGAAACCACAAGGGAAGAGCCCCAACTGATAGGCACAGCCAACTTTTCCTTGACTTTATTTTTTTTTTTTTTGAGATGGAGTTTCGCTTGTTACCCAGGCTGGAGTGCAATGGCACGATCTCAGCTCACCGCAACCTCCGCCCCCTGGGTTCAGGCAATTCTCCTGCCTCAGGCTCCCAAGAAGCTGGGATTACAGGCACGCGCCACCATGCCCAGCTAATTGTTTGTATTTTTAGTAGAGACGAGGTTTCACCATGTTGACCAGGATGGTCTCAATCTCTTCACCTTGTGATCCACCCGCCTCAGCCTCCCAAATTGCTGGGATTACAGGCGTGAGCCACCGCGCCCGGCCCTCCCTTGACTTTCAAATAGAGATAATCAAGATGAAACATTTGAGTGTCTGGACCTAGGCTATTATCATTTTCAGGTGGCCTGGTTATATAAAACACCCTTACCCATTCTGAAGAGACGTGGTGGGGTCATAGGTCAAGGCCATGCTACCCTATAAAGAAAGAAGACAGTGTTCACATTGTGAGTCCTTGTGTGAAAACAGGCCCAGAATGTCCAAGGCTGGGAATGTATTTAGTTTAACAAATTAAAGCCTGGACAAGTCCCACTACAGCTGTTCCAGAGTTTTTCTAATTGTTCAGGCTGCAAAGCCCCACTGGAGAACGCACTGGCAGTATGTTAACAGCCAGCATCTCTCAGTTACCTACCCTAGCTCCAAAGCTTTCCACCTCAGCTCACAGAAATCATGCCATGATCATTCCCATTCCACTTTAACGTCCTTAGTACTCTTGTCTCCTCAGTGGTCCTCTTACCATGTCTCCATTCCTTGGCCAGGCCCGTCCATTTTGCACAAATTTTCCTTGGTTCTGTCGTTTCTTTGGCCCACCATCAGCAAATTTGCAAAGCAAGGGATCGGATGGGGCTGCCAAGAGAGAAAGCAGATGCGCAGCTGAGTCTCATCTTGCATGGCCCAGGCACACTCATGCAAAGCTGCTCCAGAATCTTCACTGGAAGCAACCTGTGGCCCTCTCAGCCTGAGCCCCACGTGCCTCACCTGGTACTCCAGGGGGTGTCTTAATATATTTTCCATTAAAGTGGGTGATGATGGCTTCACACTTCTCTGTGGATTCCATCCTAAGGAGCATAAGAGGGTTAGGCTCTAGCTTCTCCAGGATCTGTGCTTTCCCCACTTTCAAAGAGAAAACTCTAAGTTCCCAGCCCCACAAATCCTCCAAATATTATGACTAGAGAAACAGTGTCTGCCACACAAATTCAAGGTTCTTGAAGAGGGAACCCCAGCTTGTAATGAAGGTTCTCTCAACTGGTCCTTGTATGGGATCCTCATATAAATAATGGCAGTCTTCAGACTTTTTTTTTTTTTTTTTTTGAGATGGAGTCTTGCTCTGTTGCCTAGGCTGGAGTGCAATGGCTCAATCTAGGCTCACTGCAACCTCTGCCTCCCAGGTTCAAGCAATTCTTCTGCCTCAGCTTCCTGAGTAGCTGGGACTACAGGTGCACATTACCACATCCAGCTAATTTTTGTATTTTTTAGTAGAGACAGAGTTTTGCCATATTGGCCAGGCTGGTCTCGAATTCCTGACCTTGTGATCTGCCCGCCTCAGCCTCCCAAAGTGCTAGGATTATAGGCGTGAGCCACTGCATCCAGCCAGACTATTAACATGGGCCCTTAAGAATAGAAGAAACAGAGGCTGTTACCATGATGATGATGATGATGATTTTTGAGATGGAGTTTTGCTCTCTTGCCCAGGCTGGAGTGCAGTGGCACAATCTCGGCTCACTGCAACCTCCACCTCCTGGGTTCAAATGATTTTCCTGCCTCAGCCTCCCGAGTAGCTGGAATTACAGGCGTGTGCCACCACACCTGCCTCATTTTTGTATTTTTAATAGAGACAGGGTTTCACTATGTTTGTCAGGCTGGTCTTGAACTTTTGACCTTGTGATTTGCCTGCCTTGGCCTCCTAAAGTACTGGGATTACAGGCATGAGCCACCGTGCCTGGACACTGTTATTAAAAAATTCTCAATAGAAATTCTTCCTTGGGATTACAGGCATGAGCCACTGCACCTGGCCACCATTATTTTTTATTAAAAAATTCTGAATAGAAATTATTTCTTTAATTTAATAAAATTGTACAAGCTAAGAATTTGCCAATATTTATTTTTTGCTTCTTGTTGTAATTAAGTTCAAGGTCTAATTAGCTACGCATAATATCATTAAGATTTCACCAATCTGTGGAAGGAAAAAGCAGTAAGAAAGAGTTCATGGCCCATAGTGATAGAAAAAGGAAAGTTGGAATCTACTGAGTTAGTGTATTGTTAGAGAAAGAGGAATAAGGAATCAGAAGACTGAGATTCCAGCACCCAGAGCTCTGTGTTAAAACACTCACAAAAACCCTCTGATCAGCCAGGTGTGGTGGCTCACATCTATAAACTCAGCACTTTGGGAGGCTGAGGCGGGTGGATCACTTGAGGTCAGGAGTTCGAGACCAGCCTGGCCAACATGGTGAAACCCTGTCTCTACTAAAAATACAAAAATTACCCGGGTTTGGTGCCTATAGTCCCAGCTGCTCGGGAGGTAGAGGTGAGAGAATCGCTTGAACCCAGGAGGCAGAGGTTGCAGTGAGCCAAGATCATGCCACTGCACTCCAATGTGGGTGACAGAGAGAGACTCAGTCTCAAAAAAAAAACAAAACCCAAAAACAAAAACAACCAGATGCGGTGGCTCACGCCTGTAATCCCAGCACTTTGGGAGACCAAGACAGGTGGATCACAAGGTCCCACAAGATGTTCGAGACAAGCCTGACCAAAATTAGCTGGGCATGATGGCAGGCACCTATAATCCCAGCTACTCGGGAGGCTGAGGCAGCAGAATCGCTTGAACCCAAGAGGTGGAGGTTGCAGTGAGCTGAGACTGTGCCACTTTGTCTCAAAAACAACCAACCAACCAGAAACAAAAAAACCCCTCTGATCCACTCCTTATTTAAGTTTTAGAGATAACATCTGTCTACTCTACCACACAGTGTTGTATAGACCAAAGGAGATAATGTATATAAACGTGTTCTAAAAATTATAAGGGACTATATAGAACAAGGAACAGTATCTTCACCTATCTCTATATTTAAAGTGAGACTCAATATATTTAACCTATTTCCCTATTTAAAGTAAGACTCACATTTGCTGGGCTGATGACCACCAGAAATATGAACCATTTCTACAAAAGAGGTAACTTTAAAAAGTCCTCAAATTGAGCCTTTTAGAGAAAACCACACATTAGGTAACCTAGAGCAGTGAGCTTCTGTCGGGTATTTCTACTCCTTATAGTCTTTCCAAAGGGTGAGCAGCCCACGGAGCATTTCAGAACCTCAACTTTCCCTAACACGGCTAAATCTGATGTGCCTGAGGGAGAGCTCCTGATGGCTAATGATCAAAGCTGAAGTCCCTTCCTACAACAGCTCCTCTCAAATGGTTTCCAATTCTTTAGAATCAACAAAGTTGGGGGACTTTAGCAAGATGTCAATTCACACATTAAAAAATCAATTTTGATTACAGAACACTTTGGTTCTTGCCATATAATTCAAAAGGAATTTTTTTTAGACGGAGTTGTGCTCTGTCACCCAGGCTGAAGTGCAGTGGCGTGATCTGGGTTCACTGCAACCTTATCCTCCCGGGTTCAAGAGATTTTCCCGTCTCAGCCTCCTGAGTAGCTGGGATTACCAGCATGTGCCACCATGCCCGGCTAATTTCTGTATTTTTAGTAGAGACAGGGTTTCATCATGTTGGCCAGGCTGGTCTCAAACTCCTGGCCTCAAGTGATTTGCCCACCTCAGCCTCCCAAAGTGCTGGGATTACACAGGCATGAGCCATCACACCCAGCCAAAATTTTTATTTATATACATATTTTTGTTGCACAGAAGTATGACAAGATGATCCATAATGACTTTAAATTATAAAAATATTTTAGGGCCGGGTGAGGTGGCTCATGCCTGTAATCCCAGCAATTTGGGAGGCTGAGGTGGGTGGATCACAAGGTGAAGAGATTGAGACCAGCCTGGTCAACATGGTGAAACCTCGTCTCTACTAAAAATACAAAAAATTAGCTGGGCATGGTGGCGCATGCCTGTAATCCCAGCTACTCAGGAGGCTGAGGCAGGGGAATTGCTTGAACCCAGGAGGCAGAGGTTGCGGTGAGCCGAGATTGCGCCATTGCACTCCAGCCTGGGTAACAAGAGCGAAACTCCGTCTCAAAAAAAAAAAAAAAAAATGATATGAGATTTATGACTACAGTAGTCCCACCTTATCCTCAGAAGATGCGTTCCAAGGCCCCTAGTGGATGCCTGAAACCGTGGATAGTATCAAACCCTAGATATACTATGTTTTTTCATCTGAAGGCCACGATAGCTACTAAGTGACTAATGGGAGGGTAGCATTTGCAGTGTGGATACACTGGACAAAGGGTGGGATGGAGCTGGAAAACATCAAATTTCTTTTTGAGACAGAGTCTCACTATGTTGCCCATGCTAGAGTGCAGTGGATATCGGCTCACTGCAACCTCCACCTCCAGAATTCAAGTGATTCCACTGCCTCAGCCTCCTGAGTAGCTGGGACTACAGGTGCACGCCACCATGCCTGGCTATTTTTTCTATTTTTAGTAGATATGGGGTTTTACCATGTTGACCAGGCTGGTCTTGAACTCCTGACCTTAAGTGATCTGCTCACCTCCAGCTCCCAAAGTGCTGGGATTACAGGTCTGAGTCACCTCGCCCAGCCTGAAATTTAATCATGCTACTCAGAATGGTATATGATTTAAAAACTTATGAACTAGTTCCAGATTTTTCCATTTAATATTTTTCAGTTGACTATGGGTAACTGAAACCATAGAAAGTGAAACCATAAATAAGGGGAGATTACTGTATTAAAAAAAAAAAGATGGCCCGTTTTTTTTTTTTTTTTTTTTTTTTTTTTTTTGGTGTAGGGGTAAAGGTAAGGGGGAATAGAAAGTGGCTGGGGATCCTGTGGACCCACAGCTCCATCCTCAGGGCAAGACCCATCCCATCTGCCTCCAGCTATACCCATACTCCTGTATGTATGTATGTATGTATGTATGTATGTATGTATGTATGTATTGAGACAGTGTCTCACTCTGTAGCCCTGGAGTGCAATGGTATGATCACAGTTCACTGCAGCCCTGATGTCCTGGGCTTAGGTGATCCTCCCACCTTAGCCTCTCAGGTAGCTGGGACTACAGGCACATGCCACTATGCCCAGCTAATTTAAAAAAAATTTTTTTTAATATCTATTTTAGCCACAAGATTAGAAATTAGCCCAGCTTTGTTTTTTTTTTGTTTTTTTTTTTTTGTAGAGATGGGGTTTCACCATGTAGCCCAAGCTGGTCTTGAACTCCTGAGCTCAAGTGATCCATCTGCCTTGGCCTCCCAAAGTCCAGAATTTTTTAAATGAATGATTTGTATATCAGATTGCTATGATATTTAGATCTTGTTTGAATACATTTTTAAATGAGATAACAGTATTATCTTAAATGTCAACATTTATACTTTGCTGGAAATCATACTTTGGATGAATCTAAACATATGAAGAAAACTTATAGACATTAACATAGAAACACACAAGAGATTTCATAGTTTTATAAAAGTCTCTAAAGCCACAGTTCCTGAGCTGTGCTCTCAGGCACTGTGGGTCACTGCAGTGAACTCAGAGAGGCACGGTGAGAGATATTTTAACTCTTTGAAGAAAAACAGCAGTATCTGTTGGAGAATGTGTGCACTACTAACTCAAAGTTGTTCACTGTTTCAACATTAGCTCCCCCTACAATCTTTTTGATAACATCATAGTTTTGCAAAGATGGGTTTAAATAGTTGCTATGACAAAAGCAAATACCAAAAGAAAAAACAGCATGTACCAGGAAATGAGGGGGTAAGTGTCCATTCCGATACCAGATTTTGAGAAGTTGTGCAATTCCAACAGGCACATATTCCATCAGTAAGTATAGTTACAATGAAATAAAGACATTCTCTCTTTCATTGTTTGTATATTATTTTTTCAAGCAGCCACAAAGCTGTTAAAGCATAAACACTTATTAAGTTGTGTGGACCATGAAGTTATTGCTGTCAGGAAATTTTTTTAAAAATTTGTGTGGACCATTCAGTTACTTAATAAATTGAACTGTTAGGTACTTCTTTTGGTCTAGGGTACAAAGTATTGTGGCCGGGCACAGGATCACCTGAGGTCAGGAGTTCGAGACCAGCCTGTCCAATATGGTGAAACCCCGTCTTTAAAAAAATAATTAAAAAAAAAAGTATTATGACAACTAAGGGTGCCACAAACAGAGAAATGCTGAGAACCTCTGCTAGGAACTCTCCTTTAGTTAAACCTGGGATTGCCAGCAGATGGTGCTACTAAGATTGAGTCTGCTGGGGAAGAGGAACTCTTTTTCTTTTCTTTCTTTCTTTTTTTTTTTTTGAGAGGGAGTCTCACTCTGTTGCCCAGACTAGGGTTCAATGGCTCGATCCTGGCTCACTGCAACCTCTGCCTCCCAGGTTCAAGTGATAAGTGATTCTCCTGCCTCAGCCTCCAGAGTAGCTGGGATTACAGGTGCCTGCCACCATGCCCAGCATCATGCCTAGTTAATTTTTGTATTTTTAGCAGAGACGGGGTTTCACGAGGTTGGCCAGACTGGTCTCGAACTCCTGACCTCAGGTGATCCACCTGCCTCTGCCTCCCAAAGTGGATGGGATTACAAGTGTGAGCCACCGTGCTCGGTCAAGAGGAACTACTTCTTGTTCCCAACGTCTGAAACACTCAGAGTAAGGGAGTGTTTATGGACTAGACAAGATATTATAAAGCAAAAAGGGGTGCTTAGCTCACTTAGTCCAGTCATTTTCAAAGTAAAAAAAAAAGGCAAAAGAATCTCCTTTCAAAACAGAGCCATTTCTTAAGTGGGCTAAGGGAGTCTGATGCCTTATGACAATGAGGGCAGATACCCAAAGAAGGGCACCCTGGAAAACTGCAGGTACATGGAATACTTTGGGGAAATTACGTATCTGAATCAATCTCCACTTCAGTGAGTGAACCAAGGCTCATAAAGATCTGTTATCACAGGCACAGAATTGTTCTAGAATAGAGGTCTCCTAACAGATCTGAAAAGGAAGATCAAAACTTCTTCATCCTACTGATCTCAAAGCCAGAAGGATCAGGGCTCTGCTCTAACACCCACTCCTGTGAGACCCTGGGCAAATCACTTAATACTGAGAAGTTTACTTTCCTCATCTGTAACATGGAGAATATTTATCTCATAGGGCTGTTAGAAAGATTCAATGAGATAACAAGATAAGAAATACTCAGTAAACAGTAAACTATAAGAATACACAGAATTTTTTACTCTGCTTGGGTCTGGATCAAAGGAACAAAGCCTAGAGTAGCAGAAGTAGGGAAAGAATAATGATTTGGGAGCTTAGCTGAGTGTGGTGGCTCATGCTTGTAATCCCAGCTGCTTAGGTGGCTGAGGCAGGAGGATCACTTGAGCCCAGATGTTCAAGAGCAGCCTGGACAACACAGCAAGACTGCATCTTTATTAAAAAAAAATATTTAGGTAGGGCTAATGGGTTTTTGAGTATTGTAACCTATAATAAAATAACTTATTTTTTTTTTTGAGACAGAGTCTTACTCTGTTGACCAGACTGGAGTGCAGTGGCGTGATCTTGGCTCACTGCAACCTCCGCCTCCCAGGTTCAGGCAATTCTCCTGCCTCAGCCTCCCAAGTAATTGGGATTACAGGCACCCGCCATCACACCTGGCTAATTTTTGTAGTTTTAGTAGAGATGGGGTTTCACCATATTGGCCAGGCTGGTCTTAAACTCCTGACCTTAGGTGATGTGCCTGCCTTGGCCTCCTAAAGTGTTGGGATTATAGGTGTGAGCCACCGCGCCCGGCCTAAAATAAACTCTGGACTTACCGTCAAGTATTTTTGACTAATAGTCAAGTATTTTGACCTTGTGTGGGAAGAGGCACAGATTTTGGTTTTTGGTGACCCCTAAGTGACATTCGTTATTAACCTCATCATTTCCCCACTCCTGCCTTCCTCACCTTGCAAAGCCAACCCCTCTGCTGGTCCCACTGGTGTCTCGAAGGATACGGGTGGAGATAACCTGGCCAAAGGGCTTCAGCATCCCCTCCAGTTCCTGCTCATCCATTGACAGTGGGAGGTTTGAGATGTATAAATTTGTGGGGTCCTGTTCCTGTTGCTATGGAAATAACAGTGAGAAAATGAGGCTATCCCTCTCCCACCCTCAGCCCTCCTCACAAAATGACATTTCAGAAAAGAGACTAGAAGAAGGGTCCCACATAAACAAAGATTATCCTATTTGTTAACACCCAGTCCCACTACAACGGATGTATATTGAGTTGCAGGAGGGAAAAGCGCAGATTTTATATTTCTAGTACTATATAAGCTCATCATACAAGTCATAAATGGTGTTTGGCTTTTGTTTTTGTTTTTTTTTAATTGGAGACAGAGTCTTGCTCTGTTGCCAGGCTGGAGTGCAATGGCGCCATCTCGGCTCACTGCAACCTCCGCCTCACGGGTTCAAGCGATTCTCCTGCCTTAGCCTCCCTAGTAGCTGGGACTATAGGCGTGTGCCACCAGGACCATCTAATTTTTGTATTTTTAGTAGAGCCGGGTCTCACCATGTTGGCTAGGATGGTCTCAATTTCTTGACCTTGTTATTCAACCGGCCTCCCAAAGTGCTGAAATTACAGGCGTGAGCCACCTCGCCCGGCCGGCTGTCTCTTTAAGAAACAGGCTGTGTAGCTAGATACATTTTATTTAAAATTAAAAAAAAAAAAAAGAAGAAGAAGAAGAAAGAAAAAGAAACAGGCAGGGCTGCAGTGGCTCACACCTGTAATCCCAGTACTTCGGCCGAGGCAGGCGGACCATGAGGTCATGAAATTGAGACCCTCCTGGCCAACATGGTGAAAGCCTGTCTCTACTAAAAATACAAAAATTAGCTGGGCATGGTGGCATGCGCCTCTCATCCTAGCTACTCGGGAGGCTGAGGCAGGAGAATCGCTGGAACCAGGGAGATGGAGGTTGCAGTGAGCAAGATCGTGCCACTGCACTCCAGCCTGGCGACAGAGCAGGAGTCCGTCTCAAAAAAGAAAGAAAGAAAGAAACAGGCAGAGCAGCATTCCCGCTCTCACCCAGCAGCCGTCCCGAGGCTGGATTCCCCTGGACTGCCTTGCTCCTTGGCTGGCTTGTTTTAAGCAGCCCCTCCCCCTTCTCTTCCGGCCACGCAGAATCCTCTAAGTAGGAATGCTTGTTCACTCCTCGATGGAGGAAGAGCAGGAAGAGGGGAGAGGGACAGGGAAAGAGCCAGATGTGGAGTTTACTGGATCACCATGGAGCCCTGAAAGCTACAGTCTCATAGGAACCCTGAAGGCTCCTAAATCTTTGCGCTTTTGTCAGAGGGTTTCACTCCTGGGAGAAGAGGTAGGACAGCCCTTCCAGAGGACTGAACGTGCAAAATGGCAGTATCATCCAATAGCTGTATTTTTAAGAATTTAAGCAGTCACTCTGCCATAAACAGTGGTCACCAGCAACCTTAATCCCCTTCTGCCTTTTCCTTTCGTTTTCTTTTTCTTTAACCATTACAGAAAAGGTGGCTGGCTGGCTTGCCTCATAAGCTCTATGTATAGTACCCCTAATAGCTTCAGAAAGGCAAGGGGACAATCCTACCTAACAGAAGAATTGAGAGAGAAAGGCTTTTGGATTTCTGGTAGTCTAGGTGAAGACAACAGTTTCAGACGGACCTGAGGAGAAGGGACAGTTTCCTCCCTTGATGTGGCTTCCCCCCTGCCTCCCCAGCCCACTACCCTGGCCCCTGTGGGGAACAACGTTGGGAGGTGGAGAGCACTGTTCTGAACTTCTGAATTGCACAACTGACTTGTTCAGAGAATGTTGCAAAACAAGCTGTCTGGTAGGGAAGTGGGGCCAGGGTGAATGATACAGGGAAAATAGGGAAGCAGCAGGAGTACTGGAAGAGGCCGCCTTACCCTCTTTCTCACTGCCAGTAACTTGGTGAGAGGAACAGAGTTGACAGAGCTACTTGCCATAGACTTTGAATCCATCTTCCTCCAGCAGCCAGGGGTGCCCATGGACTGTCTAGAAAGCACTGTGGATAGCCCTTTCCCACTCCATTTCGTGGTTCCTAAGCCTATGGAAACCTTAGAACTGGAACTTTGGTGCTAACCATAAACCCCTTGGAGGAACGGACATGGGGGAATAGCCTTACCTTTGCCATCTGTGCCTGTACACCGCTGGCCTTCAGTGCTGTTACAGCTTTCTGTGCTGCTGAAGGGCTGTCAAAATCTACAAAGCCATAGCCTGGGACAGAGAAACAGCATCACCGGGAGGTGGGAGGTGTAAGGGACATAGGGAGGTCCAGGTTTTTCAGGAGACAGAGGAAGAGTTATCATCCATGTAACAGAAGCGGGGAGAAAGCTATTGAGAGATTTCAGATAGTTATCTACCTGCTCCTCAAACCCTGACGTGTGATCTACTTTGTGGCTAAGAATGCCAAGGCAATGAGCTACTGTGGTGTCCCTGCCTTTCTCCCTCCCCCTTAAGAAATTTGAGGTTTCAAGAACTAGGCTCTTCTAATAACCCAAAGCTTCCCTATACCTCTAAAAAAATCCCCCCTGCTTTTCTTGATATATCCCAGAAATGCTAGGAATGTAGGGAATGCAGCCTCTCTACAGCAGACCACCAGCCACCAGCTGGAAGGTCCTCACCACCCCAGCCTATAGCCCTTTCTCTTCCTTCTGCTCTTCCAGCTTTTATCTAGAACTGCTCAAAACCCAATAAAACTACTCACCCTCAGAAAATAATACCCACCAATACTCTCCCAACAAAATGCATTTACATGGCTTTGCTAAGCAGAAAAAAATCTCACTTACCCACTTCTACTGTACCATCCACGGAAATACAAGGTCCAAAACAAGCCCAGTAGACTCAAAGGTGTTTTGTACAGTCTTCTGGCCTTGGGGCCCCTAAACAGCATATTCAGCTCTAGCTATCTGGTCACCAAAGAATCTAAATATCTCCTAATCTTTTAAGCCTAAAAATTTCAGGTACTCTTCGCTGACACTGTAGACTCAGGACTCTCAGCGGTAAAGGGCAATGGCAAGGGATGGCCTCACTTACTGGTGCTCTCCGTCACCAAGGACAGTTGTTCTCTCACCTTTGCATTTGTTTGTGGTCTTGTCCAGTATGGCCTTAGTGGAAACAATCTTGCCATATCTAAGGGAGAGGAAAATGCAAAGTAATAATCTGGGGGCAGAGACTAAGAATAGGACAGAGGGCCGGGCGCGGTGGCTCAAGCCTGTAATCCCAGCACTTTGGGAGGCCAAGGCAGGTGGATCACGAGGTCAAGAAATCGAGACCATCCTGGTCAACATAGTGAAACCCCGTCTCTACTAAAAATACAAAAAATTAGCTGGGCGTGGTGGCGCATACCTGTAATCCCGGCTACTCGGGAGGCTGAGGCAGGAGAATTGCCTGAACCCAGGAGGTGGAGGTTGCGGTAAGCTGAGATTGAGCCACTGCACTCCAGCCTGGGTAACAAGAGTGAAACTCCATCTCAAAAAAAAAAAAAAAAAAAAAGGACAGAGATTCAGACATCTTGACAGATCCATGCCCTTTCCATGCTCCAACTTTTCCTACTCAAACCTTAATGAAAATAAAAAAGAAATGGGGGATGGTGGCTCATGCCTATAATCCCAGCACTTTGGGAGGCTGAGGCTGGTGGATTACTTGAGGTCAGGAGTTTGAGACCAACCTGGCCAACATGGTGAAACCTCATCTCTACTAAAAATACAAAAATTAGCTGGGTGTGGTGGTGCATGCCTGTAGTCCCAGCTACTAGGGAGGCTGAGGCAGGAGAATGCTTGAACCTGGGAGGCAGAGGTTGCAGTGAGCCGAGATCGTGCCACTGTACTCCAGCCTGGGCAACAGATGGAGACTCATCTCAAAAAAAAAGAAAGAGAAAAGAAAAAAAAAAAAGAAATGAGTTAAAAATGCCACACTTAATATAAACTCATCCTCCCCAAAGGTGCCTAAAAGAAATAAGGTAACTGCATTCCTTATAATAGCAACACATTTCTCTCTTCTTTCCCAAGACTCACACACACTAGTTGGAAAGAGGTGACTGTCTTCTGGTTAAGAAGCTTGGCAATGTCCACACAACAGAGTGTGTGGAGTCAGAGCTCTGGCTGGAATTCCCTGAGGACTAAAAACAATCTCTGATGGTTGCTTATCTTCTTATGGAAAACACCACTGAGCCTATGAAAAAACTATAGACATTTTTCTTCTCTGATATCCTATTCCCATCACCCTTCCACTGACCCCTTTAATTGAAGGTCAACATGAGCCATATTGCTTTGGTTCAATGCCACTTTTTAGCTATCTGTGATCTTGAACAAGTCATTTAACCTTTTGGCATCTCAACCTCATCATCCATAAAATGGAGATAGGACTGTTAGGAATGTGAAATGAATTAATAAATATAAAACATTAATGTCTACCACGTGGTAATCACTTAAAAATCTTAATTACCATGATTATTATTATATTCAAGGAACCTCAACTTTAATCTCTCTCTCTGTCTTACCATATTCTGAGACTTCTATTTCTCATTGTCAAGATTTGAGGGTGCTAGGAAGGGGAGTGGGAACTGTAGTATTAAATCAGTGTGTGTGTGTGTGTGTGTGTGTGTGTGTGTATGTGTCAGGGTCTGGCTTTGTTGCCCAGGCTGGAGTCTAGTGGTGTGAACATGGCTCACTGAAGCCTCAAACTCCTAGGCTCAAGCAATTCTCCTGCCTCCTGAATAGCTGGGACCACAGGTGTGAACCACAACATCTGGCTAAATTTTAAAATAATCCCATAGTAGCTGGGATTACAGGCGCTTGCCATCACACCCAGCTAATTTTTACATTTTTAGTAGAGACGAAAATGTTGGCCAGGCTGGTCTCAAACTCCTGATCTCACGTGATCCACCTGCCTGGGCCTCCTAAAGTGCTGGGATTACAGGTGTGCGCCACCACACCTGGCCTTGCATATCCTTTCAATGTCATTCTGAAACACTGTCTAAAAGACTCATTCAAGGAATATTTCGTTTTCCAGTGGGATGTTTCTTTGTTTGACTATTTACTACTGATTAGGGCCCAGACTTGGTAAAGATATATGCTAACTGATAGATTTTGGGGTTTTTATTTTATTCTTTTTTTTGTTTTGAGACAGGGTCTCACTCTGTCACCCAGGCTGGAGTGTAGTGGTGTGATCTGGCTCACTGCAACCTCTGCCCCCTGGGTTCAAGTGATTCTCCTGCCTCAGCCTCCTAAGTAGCTGGGACTGCAGATGCATGCCAACATGCCCAGCTAATTTTTATAGTAGAGAAGGGGTTTCACCATGTTGGACAGGCTGGTCTTGAATTCTTGGCCTCAAGTGATCTGCCCACTTCAAATGCCTCCCAAATTGCTGGCATTACAGGTGTGAGCCACCACACTCAGCCCAGAGCAGAATCTTGATTCAACTTCACCATATATTCATCCCTCAGTATTTGTGGGGGGTTTGTTACAGGATCTCCTCCGTCCCCCTACATGGATACCCAAATCCACCGATGCTCAAGTCTCCCCACTTTTTCTGAGACAGGATCTTGTTCTGTCACCAAGGCTGGAGTGCAGTGGCTCAACTGCAGCTAACTGCAGCCTGCGAGATCAAGTTTAGCAGTGATCCCCTTACCTCAGCCTCCAGAATAGATAGGATTATAGGCACATGCCACCATACTTGGCTAATTTTTTGTATTTTTTTTTGGAGAGATGAGGTTTCATCATGTTGCCCATGCTAGTCTCAAATTCCTGCACTCAATCAATCCTCCTACCTCAGCCTCCCAAAGCGCTGGGATTACAGGTGTGAGCCACTATGCCTGATCTATTTATTTTTTTCAGACAGGGCTTCACTCTGTCGCCCAGGCTGGAGTGCAGTGGCACGATCATAGCTCACTGTAGCCTCAACCTCCCAAGCTCAGCTTCCTGAGTAGCTGGGACTACAGGTGCAGGCCACCACATCTGGCTAAATTTAAAATATTTTTATAGAGACAGAGGTTTCACTATGTTGCCTAGGCTGGTCCTGAACTCCTGGGCTCAAGTGATCCTCCCACCTCAGCTTCCCAATGTGCTGGAATTACAGGCATGAGCCACTGCACTTGGCCGAGTTATAGATACTTGTCCAGTAAACATGCAAATGATTTCTGTACAGTAGAAAAAATAATTGCAAAGGTTAGTGGCTTTACAAAGGTTAGTGGCTTTACTATCCTGTAGGACATAAACCGGTTTTCTAATCTAATGTAGCAATCTTATTCTAACATTCTTTCTTCATGTCTTATAAGTAGTTCCTCAAATGCTTGTTGAACTCATTTTGCCATCCTGCTGGTTCCCTCATTAATGAGTTAAAAAAACTTTTGACACATGTTCATTTTATATTTGTATGACAGTTGTGTTTTTCTTTCTTTCTTTTTTTTTTGAAACGGAGTTTCACTCTTGTTGCCCAGGCTGGAGTGCAGTGGCGAGATTTCGGCTCACCGCAACCTCCGCCTCCTGGGTTCAAGCAATTCTCCTCCTGTCTCAGCCTCCTGAGTATCTGGGCTTATAGGCATGCAACACCACACCCAGCTAATTTTGTATTTTTAGTAGACACAGTTGTGTTTTTCTTTGTTTTTTGAAGCAGAGTTTCACTCTTGTTGCTCAGGCTGGAGTGCAGTGGCACGATCTCTGCTCCCTGCAACGCCTTGCAGGTTCAAGTGATTCTCTTGCCTAAGCCTCCCAAGTAGCTGGGATTACAGGCATGCACCACCATGCCCAGCTAATTTTGTATTTATAGTAGAGACGAGGTTTTGCCATGTTGGTCAGGCTGGTCTTGAACTCCTGACCTCACGTGATCCACCAGCCTCAGCCTCCCAAAGTGCTGGGATTACAGGCATGAGGCACTGTGCCCGGCCTGACAGTTGTATTTTACAACTTTTTGAAAATTATACTTTGGTAGCAGAGTCACATGGAACTTCTAAAACTTTATTAGAGAATCACAGATCAGGGATTATATTAGAGTTGTTCTGCTAGAAAAAAAGCCTCTATATTCTACTCCAGGAGGGTGAAAATATTAAAGAGACAGAACAGAAATCACTAACAAAGTCAGAAGTATCAGAGCTACTTGAAAATAGTTGGTAAGGACTGAATATGAGAACAATACCCCAAACAAGCAATTTCCCATCTCTCCTTTCATCCCTAAAGAATATATGATGATTGATTTGTTTTCACTCCTCGGCGGCATCTCACTGACTTTTTTCATGGAACTTCTGTGATCCAAAGGATTAGACAGAATAAGCCAAGCAATGCCCTGGAGGCTGGGAACAGAACACGTTGGAAGGAGAGTGAGGATGTATGTGGCTATCCTAGCCCTTCCAGGCTACATACTTGGATTCATTCCCAAATTTAGGCAAGGGGAAGGACTCATTAGAAGTCTAACTGAAGGGCAGAGGACACATATGCTGCGATCCCTATCAAGGCCCCAGGGTGGAGCTTGCTGTGGTCTAGCAGCTGAGACTTTGAGCTCAGAATTTCCACGGCAGCTGGCAACAGCTGGGTCACTGCTGCTGCTTCCTTGAAGGAGCCCCTCTGAGAACTAGGAGTTCCAGTCCTAGACTCCAAGCCACTCCTTCCCACATACCAGACTTTAGGATCCAGCAATATTTACTTCCTCTACAACCCAGGGAGAGACAACTGGGACAAAGGGAAGAAGTCCTTCTATGCATGAGAAACAACCTTCCTAGAAAGGCTTCACTCCCTGCTCACAGTGGACAGAGGGCTCTGCCCACCTGCTCTGCTCAGACTCCTTCTCCTCAGGACTCCTCTGGCACCTCTTTCATCCCTGCCTCTCCACAGTCCCTTTTTGGGCTGCTTCAATCCTACATGCTGCCATTGACTATTCTTATCCTTTAGACACAGCAAAAGATAAGGCAGCTGTTCAGAACGGCAAAATAAAAGTCCCTCTGTATCTGTGGGCATTCCACTTGTGGATTCAACCAGCCATGGATTGAAACTATACAGGAAAAAAATAGCCCAAAACACTGTTGGGTGCTATGTTTAGTACCAAGGTGATGAAATAATTTCTATACACCAAATACCTGAATCCCGAGTTTACCTATATGATAAATCTGCACATGTACCCTTTAACCTAAAATAAAAGTTAAAATATTAAAAAAAAAAAAAAAAAAGGATGGTTGTGGCCAGGCACGGTGGCTCAAGCCTGTAATCCCAGCACTTTGGGAGGCCAAGGCGGGAGGATCACGAGGTCAAGAGATGGAGACCATCCTGGCCAACCTGGTGAAACCCTGTCTCTACTATAAATACAAAAACATTAGGGCTGGGCGCAGTGGCTCAAGCCTGTAATCCCAGCATTTTGGGAGGCCGAGGCGGGTGGATCACGAGGTTAAGAGATCGAGACCATCCTGGTCAACATGGTGAAACCCCGTCTCTACTAAAAATACAAAAAATTAGCTGGGCATAGTGGCACGTGCCTATAATCCCAGGAACTCGGGAGGCTGAGGCAGGAGAATTGCCTGAACCCAGGAGGCAGAGATTGCGGTGAGCCAAGATTGCACCACTGCACTCCAGACTGGCACCTGGTGACAGAGCAAGAATGTGTCTCAAAAAAAAAAAAAAGGACGGTTGCATCTTTACTAAACATGTACAGACTTTTTTTCTTGTTATTCCCTAAACAATATAGTATAGCATTTATTTACATGGCATTTGTATTGTATTAGGTACTATAAGTAATGTAGAAATAATTTTAAAGTATATGGGAGCATGTGCGTAGGTTATATGTAAATACTACACTATTTAATTTTATTATTATTATTTTTTTGAGACAGAGTCTCACTTTGTCACCCAGGCTGGAGTACAGTGGCATGATCTTGACTCACTGCAACTTCCACTTCCCGGGTTGAAGTGATTCTCCTGCCTCAACCTCCCAAGTACCTGGGACTATAGGTGCCTACCACCATACCCGGCTAATTTTTGTAGTTTTAGTAGAGATGGGGTTTCACCATGTTGGCCAGGCTGGTCTTGAACTACCGAACTCAGGTAATCTGCCTCCCTTGGCCTCCCAAAGTACTAGGATAACAGGTGTAAGCCACCGTGCCCGGCCACTACACTGTTTTGTATAAGGGACTTGAGGCCAGGCACAGTGGCTCATGCCTGTAATCCCAGCTTTTGGGGAGGCTGAGGTGAGAGGATTGATTGAACCTCTGAGTCTGAGACCAGACTGGGTAACATGATGAAATCTCATCTCTTAAAAAAATGCAAAAAATTAGCCAAACATGGCGGTACGTACCTGTAGTTCTAGCTACTCAGCAGGCTGAGGTGGGAAGATCACTTGAGCCCTGGAGGCTACAGTTAGCTGTGATTACGCCACTGCACTCCAGCCTTGGTGACAGAACAAGATCCTGTCTCAAAAAAAAAAAAAAAAAAAAAAAAAAGGGTGGGCTGGGTGCAGTGGCTCACACCTGTACTCCCAACACTTTGGGAGGCTAGGCAGGCAGATCACCGAGGTCAGGAGTTTGAGACGAGCCTGGCCAATACGGTGAAACCTCATCTCCACTAAAAATATAAAAATTAGCTGGGTGTGGTGGTGGGTGCCTATAGGCCTGTAGTCACAGCTACTTGAGAAGCTGAGGCAGGAGAATTGCTTGAACCTGGGAGGTTGCAGTGAGCCAGGATCGCTCACACCACTGCACTCCAGCCTGGGCAATAGAGCGAGACTCCATCTTAAAAAAAAAAAAAAGGGTGGGGACATGCGCATCGGTGAATTTTGGTATCCATGCAGGGGGACAGAGGAGGTCCTGGAACAAATCCCCCAGAGATAGTGAGGGACGCATATACGGTAAAATCTAATAAAGATTCTTCTCTGGCTGGGTGTGGTGGCTGTGGCTCATACTGTAATCCCAGCACTTTGGGAGGCCAAGGTGGACACATCATCTGAGGTCAGGAATTTGAGACCAGCCTGGCCAACATGGTAAAACCCCATCTCTACTAAAAACACAAAAATTAGCCAGGTGTGATGGTGCCTGTAATCCCAGCTACTTGGGAGGCTGAGACACAGTCTTAAAAAAAAAATTCTGCTCTGTCTTCTGGTGTGAGAGAATTTTTGTAGCATATTATATTTAGTACAAGAAGCAAAATGTAGCAATTCAGGACCTAGATTGATGTAATACACTTTCCCTTCCTCATAAAGCAACATTTATGCCAATTCTCACCTCTCAAAAATCACTAGTCCAAGACAGTCCCCTCAGTTCCACTTACATACCTTTCTAGCAAGGTAAGCTGAGATAACAGACCAGTTTTTAAAATTAAGAAAAATTGTTTTTTACTATATTTTTTATAGAGACAAGGTCTTACTATGTTGCCTAGCCTAGTTTTGAACTCCTGAGCTCAAGTGATCCTCCTGCCTTGGCCTCCCAAAGTGCTAGGATTACAGATGTGAGCCACCATGCCCAGCCCAAGGACCAGTTTTATATATACTCCAGACTTCATTTTTCATTGTTTATTATTTTTTGAGCTGGACATCTGTGGACTCTTGCCATTTTTCCAGCATTCTAATTGGGCAACTCCATGATTCAAATCTGCTAAAAAGAACTCCAAAAGATCTTTATGGGGTAGATCCAGAGTGATTGCTTCTATCTCCACCTTCTTTGCTAACTTGAGGTCTCCATTCACAAGGAATAGATATTCCAGCAGCAGAAAGTCTCCTAAGAGCATGATTCGATCGGCGAGTCCCACTTTCTTCAATCCCCACTGCCAGCTCTCTCATGCCTTCTAACTAACATCTATAGAGAAATCAAGGTGTAAGGACACCAATCTTTCCACTAAGATCATCAGGTTGGGGGTGGTGCTGGAAATAAAGCTAGATATTAGGGTTTAAAGGCCAGTCCGACCCTGGCTTTTCTTAAAGAAACACATAAAGGCATTATCATATATATCAGTAGCAGGCAGAATTTTTTAAGAGAGAGGCTGCTGAGAAAGTTTGTGTCTATGGAGTAGAAACAAAATGCCATTGCATTTTAGGGTAAGTGGGTTGTCAAGGCCAGGAGTGGTGGCATGTGTCTGTAATCCCAGCTACTGAGACAGGAGGATCACTTGAGCCCAGGAGTTCATGACCAGCCTGGATGATATAATGAGACCCTGTCTCAAAACCAAATCTATACTGTCCCTGGAAGCCTACCCACATGTACTCCAACTTACGGCTGACACAGCTTGACAAGATCTTGGTCAGTAGTGCCTGGCTGCAATCCTCGGATGTATAGGTTGGTTTTGCTCAGCTGGTCATTTCCATTGCTTCCACTGCTGCTGTTAGGGGTACTGTTGCTTGGGCTAGGTGGTGCCATCTGCTGAGCCAATGACACATATGGCTGCAGGGAGACATGAGGAAGAGGTAGAAGAATTATCATTTACATGTTGGAGAGTGAGGAAGATCCTGGCCCTCTTGAAAAAAATAATTCCAAACTATATATAATCACAAATGTACACCCACTTGGATACACATAGTTTGTTCCTTAGCTCCATATTTTAGTAGAGAAGAAATCTAATACAACATTCTGAGACAGCCCAAAGACTCAAAATCCCATTGTAGCTTTTAATACAACCTTTATATTTCCTATTCCTTTCTCCTTTTGCCAGCACTTAGACTAGGATTTCCCAGATAACAGTCTATAGGCCAGGCGTGGTGGCTCACACATGTAATCCTAGCACTTTGGGAGGCTGAGGCAGGGTGATCATTTGAGGTAAAGAATTCAAAACTAGCCTCGCCAACATAGTGAAATCCTGTCTTTACTAAAAATACATAAAAATTAGCCAGATGTAGTGATGGGCGCCTGTAATCCCAGCTACTCAGGAGGCTGAGGCAGGAGAATTGCTTGAACCCGGGAGGCAGAGGTTGCAGTGAGCCGAGATCACGCCACTGCACTCCAGCCTTGGTGACAGATTAGACTCCATCTCAAAAAAACCCAAAAAACCAAAAACAAATAAACCTAAAAACACTCTGTGTACCAAAGGAATATGTTTTATTCTTCTGTGATAAAAATGATATGTCAATTGATACAGTCAATAAGGGAAGAGCAGCGCATGGGGCATGGGCATTTTTTAAAACAACATTCGGGCCAGGCATGGTGGCTCATGCTTGTAATCTTAGCACTTTGGGAGGCTGAGGTGGGTGGATCACCTGAGGTCAGGAGTTCGTGCCCACCCTGACCAACATGGTGAAACCCTGTCTCTACTAAATACAAAAAATTAGCCGGGCATGGTGGCGCATGCCTGTAATCTCAGCTACTCATGAGGCTGAGGCAGAAGAATCACTTGAACCTGGGAGGCAGATTGCAGTGAGCCAAGATTGTGCCGTTGCCCTCCAGCCTGGGCAACAAGAATGAAACTCCGTCTCAAAAAAAAAAAGCAACTTTCAGATGACAGAACAAGGCAAATATGGCTTAACATCATACTACCAGTGCTGGAGATGGAAGTGCTTTTTTTAGAAGAGACAGTGTCTTGCTCTGTTGCCCAGGCTGGAGTACAATGGTGCAATTATGGCTCACTGCAACCTTGACTTTCTCAGCCTAAGCGATCCTCCCACCTCAGCCTCCTGAGTAGCTGGGATTACAGGCATGCACTACAAATGCCTGGCTAATTTTATTTTCATTTTTTGTAGAGATAGAGTCTCCCTATGCAGCCCAGCAATACTCCTGCCTCAGCCTTCCAAAGTGAGATTACAGGCATGAGCCACAGCACCCAGCCAAAAAGTTGGCAAAAGACATAAACAGACACTTTTCAAAAGAAGAAATACATGTGGCCAACAATCATGAAAAAAAGCTCAACATCACCAATCATTAGAGAAATGCAACTCAAAACCCCAATGAGATACCATCTCATACCAGTCAGAATGGCTAGTATTAAAAAATAAAAAAATAACAGATGCTGGTGAGGTTATGAGGCTATGGAGACACTGTTGGTGGGAGTGTAAATTAGTTCCACCATTGTGGAAGACAATGTAGTGATTCCTCAAAGACCTAAAAACAGAAATATCATTTAAACCAGCAATCCCATTGCTGGATATATACCCAAAGGAATAGAAATCATTCTATCATAAAGACACATGCACGCGTATGTTCGCTGCAGCACTATTCACAATAGCAAAGACATGAAATCAACCTAAATGCCCATCAATGGTAGACTGGATAAAGAAAATGTTGTACATACACATGGAATATTATGCAGTCATAAGAAAGAACAAGATCCCATCATTTGCAGGAACATGGTTTGAGCTGGAGGCCATTATCCTTAGCAAACTAACGTAACAGAAAACCAGATACCGCATGTTCTCACTTGTAAATGGGAACTAAATATGAGAACACATAGTTACATTAAGGGGACAATACACACTGGGGTCTGTCTGAGGGTGGAGGGTGAGAGGAGAGAGAAAACAAGAAAAATAACTAGTGGGTTATTAGGTTTAATACCTGGGTGACAAAATAATTTGCAAAACAAACCCCCATGAGACAAGATTACCTACTTAACAAACCTGCACATGTATCCATAAACTTAAAATAAAAGTTAAATAAATTTTAAAAAAGAATCACCTTAAAATTTCTGATTACTAGCTCTGCAATAATAATAATATACTGATTCAGGCACAGTGCCTAACACCTGTAATCCCAGCACTTTGGGAGGTGAGATAATTGCTTAAAACCAAGAGTTTGAGACCAGCCTGGGCAACATAGCAAGACCCCGTCTCTACAAAAAAAATACAAAAATTAGCTGAGGCCAGGCACTGTGGCTCATGCTTGTAATCCCAGCACTTTGGGAAGTCAAGGCAGGTGGATCCCTGAGATCAGGAGTTCAAGACCAGCTTGGCCAACATGGTGAAATCCTGTCTCTACTAAAAGTACAAAAATTAGCTAGGTGTGGTGGCGGGCACCTGTAATCCCAGCTACTCAGGAGGCTGAGGCAGGAGAATTTCTTGAACCCTGGAGGCAGAGGTTGCAGTGAGTCAAGATTGCAGTTAGCAGAGGTCGCGCCACTGCACTCCAGCCTGGGCAACAAGAGTAAAACTCTGTCTCAAAAAAAAAAAAAAAAAAAATTAGCTGAGCATGGTAGCATGTGCCTGTAGTCTCAGGTACTTGGAAAGCTAAGGTAGGAGGACTGCTTGAGCCCAGGAAGTTGAGGCTGCAGTGAGACACAATCATGCCATTGTACTACAGCCTGGGTGACAGAATAAGACTCTGTTCCAAAAAATATATATATTGGTGGGTCTATTCCCCCTCCACTGTCACTACTATCATATGATTTGCACCATCTGACTTAAAATACAGTCAATGGATAGAGAAAGTGTGATACATTTACACCATGGAATACTATCCAGCCATAAAAAGAATGAGATCATGTCTTTTGCAGGAACACGAATGGAGCTGGAGGCCATTATCCTCAGCAAACAAATGCAGGAACAGAAAATCAAATACTGCATATTTTCACTTATAAGTGGGAGCTAAATAATGAGAATCTATGAGCACAAAGAGGGGAACAATAGACACTGGGGCCTGCCTGAGAAAGGAAGGTAAGAGGAAGAAGAGGAACAGGAAAAATACTATCAAGTACTATGCTTAGTACCTGGGTGATCCAGGTACTAAGAATTCCATCTCTACTAAAAAATACAAAGTTACCTATATAAAAAAACCTGCACATACCCCTGAACCTAAAATAAAATTTCTTTAGAAAGGTCTTTATATAGCAAATCAATGTGTCTTTTTGCTTAAGCAATCAGTGCTAAATAGAATATATGGTGAACATTACTCCAATTTGGCTTTCTATTTATTGGGAATAAATACTGCCCACAACTGCAATGTATCATTTGTAGAGAAATACTTGTAAAAAGCAGCCTAGAACTTTCACTCTAATCTTGTTATTTTAAAAAAATCATGAAGGTTGTGATAAATATATATTTCATAAAAATAAAATATAGTCAAGAAGACCATGACCTACGGCCAGGTGCAGTGGCTCACACCTGTAAATCCCAGCACTTTGGAAGACTGAGGTGGGTGGATCACTTGAGGTCAGGAGTTCAAGACCAGCCTGACCAACACGGAGAAACTCCATCTCTACTAAAAAATACAAAATTAGCCAGGTGTGGTGGTGCATGCCTGTAATCCCAGCTGCTCCAGAGGCTGAGGCAGAAGAATTACTTGAACCCAGAAGGTGAAGGTTGCGGTGAGCCAAGATCCCATCATTGCACTCTAGCCTCGGAAATAAGAGCAAATCTCTGTCTCAAAAAAAAAGAAAAAAAAAAAAAGAAAAGAAAAGAGGGTATTGGTTTGCTACCATGGTTACCATCTTGGTTTTAATACTAAGGTCTTAGCTATAGTTTAAAAATATGACTTAGTCAATAATAAACTTACTACAAGGCCTTAAAAAATTCCTAGAAAATAAGATATGGCTCAGAAGAAAACAACTTTTTTTTTGAGCATCTGAAATCCTTTATTAGAACATCATTGCTGTTTGCCAAACAGAAGACACAGACAGCAGACAAACAGTGAAACAGAGCCCAGTGACCAGAGCTGGCCCCTTGGCTAGGGACCCTCCCCTACTACCTGGTGGACCAGTCTAGCAACCTCTGTCCCTCCTCAGAACCTCAGGCCTTTGGCGTAATGCCGATGGGGGGCTGCAGGCAGTGAAGCCCCTTGACTCAACACAGAGACTTGAATGGGTGTTGGAGAGTGGGGACAGTGGAGAGGCCAGAAGGGGCTGGGCTGAGCAGCACAAGTGGAGGAAGCCAGGAGCAGGGGAGATGGTATCTATCTGGAGAACAACTTTTATCTCTTGCTATTCTCATGCACCTTCTGAAATTGTGAATAGGTTTGACACCAAAGAAAAATGGTAGAAAAATATTCACTTTAAGGGTAAGAGAATCTGGGTGGGGGGGAAGGTTAAGAAAGACCCTAAGTAGGCCGGGCGTGGTGGCTCACGCCTATAATCCCAGCACTTTGGGAGGCCAAGGTGGGTGGATCACGAGGTCAAGAGATCGAGACCATCCTGGTCAACAAGGTGAAACATCGTCTCTACTAAAAATACAAAAAATTAGCTGGGCATGGTGGTGCGCGCCTGTAATCCCAGCTACTCAGGAGACTGAGGCAGGAGAATTGCCTGAACCCAGGAGGCGGAGGTTGCGGTGAGCCGAGATCGCGCCATTGCACTCCAGCCTGGGTAACAAGAGCCAAACTCCGTCTTAAAAAAAAAAAAAAAAAAGACCCTAAGTAAAGCTTTTATCTGGCTTCCTAAAACAATTTGCAGACAAAGACCCTATAAACTAATCAATCGTATGTGTACCTATAATATCTAAGAGAGAAAGGGGTAATACATATGAGCACTC